ATATTTCTTGGCTAATTTTTTGGTGCCTAGATTAGGTGTTGAGAGGAGTTCCTTAGCAACTGACCAATTCCTTGTACACTCATGTCAACTTTATAGAATGTCATGGTTGTAACCATTTTGAGAATTTCAACAGAAACAAACATTACCTGACTTTGAACATTATTTTTTCCTTACAAGGCTAGTGCTTATGTTAAGTAGAATGGCAATTTTATAGCACAGTACTCTCACATTCAACAGTTAACACAGAGCCAGAACTTTGACATCAGAGCATCTTTGGTTCAAATCTCAGCTCTAGTACTTGGTAGTTGTAATAAATATTATTCATATCATTTAAGGTTGTTTCCTCATCTTTGAAATGGGGATATTAATCCTGCCTAATTGGGCCATTATGAAGAGTGAGGACATGTAAGTAATACACTTTGGCACTGTGCTAGGCACATAGAAGTACTTAATAACTGGTAGCTATTATCTTTGTTCATTTATTAATAAAATATTGATTAACTATCCATTATGTGTGAGCACTTTGTTAGGCACTGAGAACTTGGTGTGGACAAAACAGACATACTCTGCCCTTCAGGACTTCACTGCTTCCCTATCTCATACCGTGGCACTGTTGATCAGGCTGGTGCTTGTAAGTCACTACTCCTATTGAGCTTCCCCATTAAGTATCCTGACAATTACTGTGTTTATGCATACCCATTGCACTGAAACTCACAGAAGGTTGGTCTGAATTGGGAAATATGTTCTGTGGGTTTATAGAACAGTTCATGAAATTGGAATACCTGACTCACAGAATGCAAATTTGGGAGTTAAGGACATTCCATATATGACATTGATTTTATGTTCTGTTTCTTAAAGAATGTTCTAACTTTGGATTCATTTTTCCGTGGCTCTACTAAAATTGTAATTGAAGGCCATATAAACTTGAGGGCCTGACAATTTTATTTTTTTAATGTTTTTAGCCAATTTTATTTTTTTAATGTTTTTAGCCTTTTATAAGTTCTGATCTTCCTTGAGTAAACTTGGATTTTAAATAGCCTTTAACAGATACAACCAGAGAATACTTTAACAGTCAATCTGGCTTTATTTGGATAATTCAAAATGACAGGCTAGCACTTTTCAGTTCTTGGTGTAGTCTAAAAATATCCATGCCATCTGAATGGTTTCCCCATGGATTCGAGGTGAAAAGGTTCTGCAGCAAAGGCTTAAGAATCCAGAATAGTTCTATTTTCAAATGTTAATTCTCATCATTTTTGCAATGAATACTAAGAAACCACAAGGGAGCTGTGTGATTTTTTTCACAATTAATTGGCTTAATCTGGAGGAGTCTTTAGGAGAAGCTGCTATAAGAATAAGGAACCTGGTTGATGAGGCCTGAAATTACAACAGCCACTGATCAAGGTTGGTTACCCTGCTTCCTAACCTTAAGACACTTCTTATTAATAAAGACAGTAAAAATCCTATTTTGGTGGGACCCTTTTTGGAAAGCCAAAACACACCATATCAACTTTATCCTGTCAGTCCTTTTATGTGGAAAAAATACGATGCTATTTCCATTTAAAATGGGAAATGGAAATTTGAAAATGAAGAGGTGCAGGGATTTTATCCCAATGCTCTTTTCCACTCTCTTGTGTTATCCATTAGACCAGGGGTGTCAAACTCATTTTCACCGGGGCCGCATCAGCCTGGTGGTACCGCCTTCAAAGGGCCGAAATCATTTTAGAACTGTTTAAATGTAACTACTCCTTAACTGTTAAGGGGTTGAAATCACATTCAGCTGCCAGGCTGATATGGCCCCCGGTGAAAGTGAGTTTGACACCCCTGCATGATAGGATCCACTTCTCTTGGCCTTTTGCTTTTCCTCTTCACTTAGTCCTCTCACTCGTGACGTTTCAGGGTTAGTTTCAATATTCCAGCTCCCTCCAGTGAGTCATTTCTTACTCAGTCTTGAGTTTAACACATTCTTTAAAAAATTATAAAACAGGATTTTAAAACTTAAAGTTTTGTTTGTGAAACTATTCTTTTACCAGAACTGATAAGAGAGTTAAATATAAAACCATTGTCTCTTTGCACATAAGTCAGAAGAACTTAGGTAGAATTTGATTTTAGAATTACCTGCACATATTGCAACACAGTTCACATATAATAGTAGTCATCAAAGTTTATCTTCAAATATCATTCCCTGCCTACAAATCATTCTCACAAATCAAGACAGAAGGAAGTGTGACAGCCAGAGGTTTGAATCATGGCTCTACTCTGACGTTTGGCAGTTAGACTCTCTGGGCTTATTCAGCTGTAAAGTGAAATCTACCTGCAGTATTCTTGTAAGAATGAATATAAATTTGTTTGTACAAAATACCAGGCAAGTAATAAGTCAAATGTGTTGTTATTTAATGTTTTCGTTAAAACTTCTTGACTAATTTAAAAAAGTTTTATACTTGACAGTACAACCAAATTTAGGCCAATTCACTTCTTTAAGAATTTGTGTATGAAAACTAGAAGTGTACTTAGTAGCTAACTTCATCAAACAGTTCTTCAATATTTACTCAATGCCGGGCAGGGTTGTAGGGTTTGGGAGTGTGGAGTGAAAGATATGACCCCAGACTTCAGTGTGCTCAGCCTGGTTGAAGAGGGGGTATAAACGGATTCTTAGGATGAATGCTACAGTTAAGGAATGAAAGTTGAATGGGGTGAGCGTCAGAAAAAGCTTCCCTGAGGAGGAAGACTTGAGTGGAATCTTGAAGGAAAAGGTGAGAGGGGTAAGCTAGTCAGGGAGAGAGTCGAGGAAGGGGTTCTCTGGGCAAAGGGGACAGTGGAGAAGAGTGTGATCAGAAACTGGCAGTCACTTGGCGTGATTAAAAAGTCTTTTTTCCCCCAGAGATATAACACGCTCCCAGATCATGTAAGACCTTATACTACAATGTTTGGATTTTATTTTGATGTTATTCTTGGGAAACATTTGAAAGATTTTGTGCCAGCAAGTGACATAATCAAATATGTTGCTTAGAAAAATGTACTAAACCAGTTTTCTCTATTATATATTTCATTCTGGTTTCTCACTAGTCACACCCTGAATTGACTTACATATCAGAGGGAATAATTATCTTGTTTAACCTAAGACTGTCAGCACATTGGTGTTAGACACTGCATATTTATGATCTTGGTTGAAAGCTATGAAAATTGTCATGCAGATCTTTAAATTTTAGTAGCTGACAGCAGTGAGATACAAAGTTCATCACATCTGACAACCTCATTTTTTAAACTGTTATAGCATGAGGCCAAGGAGGAAAATTTTACTTTTGGGCACTGTCCAATACCCTAAGCCTTTCAGCACACTTGGCACAAGGGCATCACAGACATTTCTTCAGTGCACCAGTCTCACATGGTAATGATCCGTCACCATAAGTATATTGTTCTTGACAGTGAGCAGTAAGAAACCACTGGCTGATGTGTTTTACATGGCACATTACCCAATTTCTTTCTGCAGACTGATTTATAGAAGCAAGAATATTTGCTGAACATACCTTATGGAGACCGCCTGGTGCCTGGCCCCTCACCCCTTTACTCAGACAGGTAACAGCTGTCTGCGCTTACTGCCTGTCCTGGCTATAGGCAGGGCATACGTTAGGAGTCCCTTCCTCTGAGTTTGAAGGTTCTCCTCACTAGTAGTTTACTCATTCGTATCCTGACTGCTCTCCAGGTTTCTAGCCTCCATGTCTAGCCTCTTTAGGAGGCCCCCACAGTCTGCCCTTTACTCCCCTCCTGGCCAAGGGCATGTTTCCTCCTGTGTGAGCCGACCTCCTGCCCAAGAAGGCTATGCTTGTCCTAGTCCTTGATAGTCCTCAAACCTTTCAGATCTGCCTGAACTCTTGACTCTGACCTTGCTTGGTGCTAATTACTCAAAACACAAATTTACAAAAGCAGCATAAAAATGTCACTTAATGGCATTTTTAATAAATCCAATTTTATAACAGAACAAACTAAGAGATATAGTGTAATGAAGGGAAAAATGCATGTGGCTTGGGGTCAGGCAACTTACCGTTTATGAGATTGGATCTTCTCGTGTGCTGGTTACCGCAGCATCGCAGCCCAAGCAGAACAGTTCCATTCAGGAAGGGCCTTCCAGAGCTGATAGACATGCTCAGGATACACAGCTGTTAAGGGGAAGTTCTGGGTCTCAACTCCAGCTATGTCTTTCTGCCTGTGCTCCTTTCACCATCCAACCCTGCCTCTCAACAGTGAATCTTTAGATAATGTGAACATTTTGCTAAATGATGCATTACCTCAGTATTATGCTTTGAGGTTTATAAAGTGCTTTCACTTATATCTCATTTGACTTACTGAACAACTCTGTGAGGTAAGTATAGCTATGTCCATTTTACAAGAGAGGAAACTGAAGCTCAATAAGATACAGTGATTTGCACAGCATGAAACAACCTGTAAGACACAACTAATATTCATAAACTTTTAAAAAGTCATATGTGTATATATAACACCAAGAACCCTTTAAGTGGGGTATACTTGTATTGTTCACCCTGCTGAGTGTAGGCACCACATACTGTTTGTTGCAACAGCTGGAGACTTGCTAACATCAATCCCCAAAGTAGACGTTTCTTTCCGTCCACTTCTAAATTTCTTCTGCATTAGCCTTGGTTTATTCAGATTCTCTATGTGATGCCTATTTTTCTACCTGATTTCATGGCATACATTCCACATCTGAATGTACTGAATTAGAAATTGTGTTTCTACATCACAGGATTGTTTTACACTGGGTGGCAAACAAACAAATAAAATCTCCTTTTTATGTGCTTTTTTCACATCAAAAATATTCTTTGCTTCAGTCGTCATGAGATCCTCAAGCTGATATGACTACAGTGATAAAATATCCGTGTAGTATTTTACTTTGTTGTCATACATTTTCCCCGGTACCCCCACCATGGTGAGTAATTTATACATTTACTACTTGCATCTTCATTTATAGCTACTTTTTTTCTTTTCAGGTTTTGTGATGAAGGAACCTGTGCAGATAAAGCCAATATTCTGTATGCCTGGGCAAGAAATGCTCCCCCTACCAGACTCCCCGAAGGTAATCCTGAGGCCTCTTGGATAGTCTTATATTAAACTGCTTAATTTCTGATTCCAAAGTACTTTTTACTGTATGTCCTTTCCAACAGTTGGTGACAATGGTCTGTTCTGCTGTTTTACACTAAAAAAGTGCCTGTATCACCTGCTTTGTACCGGAAAGTTTTTGTTTAGGTAGTTACTCTTGCTTGGCCTCTCTTTGGCAAGGAATTTGCCCACACAGCAGTTTAGATAGAAAGCAACCAAGTTGACCTCAGGCCACCTTGGGCCTAAGGCACATTGGTTCTTGACAGCAGTAGCATTTTGAGAGCCAAGAGGGCTAGGAATTAAATAAACTGCTGTTTCAGCAAACAGATTTTTTTAATAGTCCTGGAACCTGAGTATTTAATATGATGCCAAACCTCAGCTGGCTTTCTGACTTCACCTCTAAAACTGTTTATAGCCTCCAATGTGCGAGTGAATTGCTAGACTCTCTTTTGTTGCTTAAACACTTCTTAATGTCAAAGTGAATGTGCGGTTCTGCTACAGAATAGGTCTGCCGTGTGTCGGGACTACATCTTGTGAAGTACAACTCCCTCTCTTGCCTCTCTAACTCATGTCACTCTAACTGATATCTGTTTTGCTTTGCTTCAAATGAGCCTTGGAATCCTCTCTATAGTTTACCAGCCAGCCACTACCAAGCAAGTTTGGAAATTAATAAGGGGGTCTGTCATACATTTGATGACATTTTAAAGATCCATTAGTACAGCATATAGAAAAAAATTTCTTCACCAGTCCATATTTTCTCTGTAGATAATTTTTAGCTTACTAGCCAACTTTATTAATCTTAGGACTATTAGGAACCCTTCAGAGGCCAAAAATTTATTGACATACTAGACTTTGTAATCTAGTTGGTAATGGTTTCCTCAGTAACATTTTTGTAGATAACCTGTTCTCATATGGAAAGAAAAGTAATTCCTCTGAGATGTTCCTAAGAAGTCTATTTCCTCTATTCAATGAGCAAATAAAAATAAATGTGAATATATACAAAATGAAGGGAGAGAATGGGTTCATGTATGTCTGTTCTATAATCAGGGAGAAAATTTTGTTTTGTTTTATTCTGTTTCTTTCAAAATGACTGAATTGTCCTCTTACTATGTAAGTAGTTACTCTGGTTCTGAAGTGGGAACTATGTATAGAATTCTGTCAAAGCTTTGAGAAGGATTGATATTAGAAATACTAGAAATATTGGAATTAGATTATATTAGAAATTTTCAGTAAATCCCTAGTTTACTTTCATTTTCATACGTGATATGTGATTTTATTTACCTTTTGATTTCACAGATCAGCAATCTGAGATTAGCTCCATTTGAGACTCCTCTTCTAAAATGTTAATTTATCATCTTTTGTAAATCTAGGTGTTGGATTCAGAGTTGGAGGAGAGACTGGAAGTAAATACTTCGTACTACAAGTGCACTATGGGGATATCAGTGCATTTAGAGGTACATTTTGAAGTATTGGAACTAAACACAACTCTCAGTACTACACTGTTTAAAATATGTATACTAAAATGAAACTTGACCGCACCCTCTGCCCACTAGGATCAACTACTTTTGTTTCTTCTAATTGGGGACTATGGAGAAATTTATTTGAGGGTATCTCTCTTATGCATCCTACTGTGCTTTCTCTTATGCTGACTTTAAGGTTCTTTGGCTTTCCAATGTATTATCTTATCTACCTGCTTCTGTTGGGGGATTCCTTCCAAGCTGCATTGTCAGAAAGTATAGGCACTAGTAAATCCTTGAACTCTCTGAGCAAGCCCTTGGGAGAGTCGGCAAGTGTTACAATACCAGCGAGGTTCTCAAACACTCTAGCTCATGTCAGTGCTTTATCTATAATCCACACTTTCCAATTCATGAATGCATCCATTGTCCACTGCACTAATGCAAAAATCACCCACCCCTTAAGGCACCCACTGCTGAGCACCACCCTAGACACCTATTGCTCACCTGTGATTACTGTGCACTTCATTTAAATGCTTCTTTTCTTATTATAGAATTGTAACATGAGGAAGGGGCCCTTTCCCAAGGCAACCTGGACTGGTGCCTGCTGTTCCTTCTGCTGTACTCAGTCAAACTCCAGTGGCCTTCCAGGCTCACACTCCTATGTTCATGGGAGTGTAAATATTAGGCAGTCTTCTCCCTGGCTTGTCAGCTTTCCTATTGTCTTGCTGTCTTATAAATATCCCCCAAGTTCTATAACCTATCATTTGTTTGTATTAACTAGACTATACATTTCCCTCTCCAGACATATTAGCTCTCTGTCCCACAACTGAGTCCAGAAGTAGGTTTCCATTTCTGCCTATGAAATATCCTCTGGGGCTTTTGCTGAGACGTTCCATGGATTCTCAGCATTTAGGATTGGACAAAAGTATCTTCCTCTGGGAAAAAAAATGTTGGAAAGAATAATTTTATGTAATTGAAAAATTATAATTAGTGGTTTAGTCAGATATATTATCAATTAAACAAGTTCCTGTGGGCCAGCCCATGAACCCAACTTCCAAATAAAAGTTGTTTTGATGTTAAAAACATGCTTTGAGTTATATATAAATAGTTTTTCATTTTTGGAACAGAACCTAATCTTAAGTTGTTAACTGTCTGTAATGCTAAGACACGGTTTTGTTGAAAACAAAGGAATAATTAATGTCTGTGTTTAAGGAACAAAGACAGAAATTATCTCTTCTAAAAATGTACCCTGTTGGTATCAGTGAAACAGGCAGATTCTAAGACTACTTACTGTCAAAGCTCTGATAATACTGTAATTTTTCTAAAAAGGCAAAGAAGGCTCTCTGTGCGCACCACCGCTAAGTAGCTGGTCATTCCCACACACACCCTCCCCTTTCCACTTTTTATCCCTCTAGAGAACCCCTAGACTTCACTTTTCAAACTAATTCCTCTTGGCTTTGTAGTGTTGCCCAACAGATATTGCAATGATGCCCTTGGGAAATGGATGGCATATACTAGTTCTTAAAATATATTACTATAATAATTTCATTTAAGTTAATTTATTACTGATGAGGAATTTGCAATTTGTTTAGTCTACAGGTAATTTTTAAAGTTCTGATAGTCAATGCATAAATCTATATAAAAGATTGATGATAAAATTTTATATAAATTTTTAATTTTTCACTTTTTTGAGAATCATATTTATGAGAGAAGATATAAATGAGATATGAGGGAGAAAGATTACTGGTTCTGTATTTCATAGAGCTTATTATTATATAATGAAAATATAAATAAAACAATTTGTTCATGTGATTCATTCAGTAGTATTAGATATTATCTTTTGCCTTAAGTTCTGTGTGGCTTAGAATAGTAAATAAACACATGGGAAAATGTCAAATCTCATTAAAACAATAAGAGATCACTTTATATTTATTAAATTGGGGGTAAGTGGAAATCGAATTATAAAACCCAGGACTGCCAGGGTTGGCATGAATCTGGTACAGTTTGGGGAGGTTTATAAATTAGTGCAGCATTTGGGAATGCAACTTTATTATATACATTCTATACAGAACATTAAAATCTTGTTCTGTGCTTTTATTCTAAAAAAATAGTATTTTTTTTTATTTATTCACTTTTAGAGAGAGAGAGAGAGAAACATCAATGTGCGGTTGCTGGGGGTTATGGCCTGCAACCCAAGCATGTACCCTGGCTGGGAATCAAACCTGCGACACTTTGGTTCACAGCCCGTGCTCAATCCACTGAGCTATGCCAGCCAGGGCTATTTTTATTTTTTTTAAAAATCAACCAACCAACAATTATTTATGCACCACTGACTATTAATATGAAAAGCCAGAAATTAACAAATATCATTAATAGGGGACTAGTTAAATAAATAACAATGAAAATAGCTAAACATAAAATAGACTATTTCATATAGACTACCTAAAACTGTACATATGTTTGTATGTTTCCAAGGATTATAAGGAACAAGGACAAGTAGGAAATAGTAAGCAGGAAAGACAGCATTGTGTGGATTGTTTTCCTTTGGAACACAAAACATTGTGCATGTAAATTCCACAAGCAGAAGCACCAGGCAAGTTTTGCAGTACCTGCCGTCCATGTGCTGCCTTTCTACTCACAGTCTCCCGGCAAAGAAGAGTCCACACAGAGCTCCATGTGCCTGATTTGAATTACTGTAAGGGGCAACTTGTACTTTAAAACGTTTCTGTGCTGTGACTGTACACATATCTTCAGATACACCTAGAAGTGAAAAACAAGGTCATCATATTTCTGATTAAAAATGCATTATATAAGTTATAGATGTATTAAAAATATACACCCATGTATGGTCATATTAGTTTCAATGAAGATTTGAACTTAATATTATTAAAACTGTTGATGATACCTTAAGCACATAAGTTGTAAATCAGAAGCAGACTAAGACTACAAAGAAATTACTGCCCTCTTCTGAAAAGTGGAAAAATGTTTGGCATAAGGGCCTGAGCATCTTTCCACCCAGGGAAGGTTTTAGAGAGGTGAGATGCCTGGGACTTTTCTTTAATGAAAAGTGAAGGTAAAGCAACAGCAAAGGTAAAATACCTTCTAAAGTTTGTTGGAATGGGATAAAGTGTCAGAGAGAGTATCAGCTAAAGCCAACTGGGTATGCTTGGATTGTGATATCTGTTAATAGGAAAAAATTGCATGTGAGTTCTGTGGAATAACATGCAATATTTGTTTTGTTTGGTATTTGTTTGTTTTGGAAATCCTACAGAATGTGAAGTGGTGAAAACATCATATATAAACAGCCAACTTTATTAAATTCCATGTCAGTCATGGTGTCACACCTGTACCAAGTGCACTAATCTTCCTGCCTGTGGGCGTTTAGTATATTCCAGCTGGAGAGACAAGAACAAAACAGGGCATTTCTAGGCAACAGTAGAAATGTGTTCCAGATATGGAACCTGTGGAAAGGTGGAGTGGACAGGTGTGCCTGGAAGGAGGTGGGGGCAGGGGACATAATCTGAATGGCTCTTAGAAGATGGAGCCAGAGCAAGGATTTGAATGGTGATTAGAAGCCCCAAAGTAGACAGAGGGAAGGGGAAGACACAATCCAGAAAAAGGTAAAACCATGTACATGGACACAGGAGAGTGAAAAGTCTCATGTCCACAAGGAACTTGTGGCATTTGGCGTCACTGGAGTGTGAGATACAAAGGGAGAAGTGGCAAGAATTGAGAAGAGAGGGGAAAGGTGGGGACCAGACCCTAAAGATTCTTGTGAGGACTTTATTCTGAAGGCACTCATACTGCTTACTAGCCAAGCTACATACAACCTGATCAGATCTTCCCTTCAGTCCGAGGCCTGAGGGCATGGAAATGCTACTCCTAGCTTTGTGAAGAAAGGACTGGGGCTCCAGGAGGCCATGGTGAACCTGGGTTGTGGCTCTGGAAGGCCAGCATAAATTATTTTTTTAAATGTAGGGTTTCTATAAATTAGTATTCTTTGTAAAACAGAATGTAATCTTATTAGAAATGAAAGTCTCAAAGAGGCAATAGTGTAGGGGTTGGGTGACCAAACTGTGGGAGCAGATGGCCTGGCGGTGGCACTTGCTGGTTTGTTACCTTCACCAAGTTCCTAGCCCCTCTGCCCACCTCGTCTATGAAGTGGTCTCATAATGGTTCACATAAATGTACCTGGTAAGTGCTCAGTAAATGCTAACTAGTATCATTCTAGTCCCTGTAAAAGGCTTCCAGGGGATATAAATTCTCCTAAATGCGTAGTTGTTATAGTTTCCCATAACATGGAGAGTACGTTGGTTACTTTTCAATGGTGTTTTATTTCTTGCTATGTTCAGACACAGAACTGTGTTCACATCTCTCACATTGCCAATAGAAGTTTCCTACTTGTGGTCTGTGCCCTGTTCTCCCCAGCAGTTTTTGTTATTTGTAGTTCAGTTATACGAAGAAACTACAAGATTAAATCCTTGCACTTAAGGAGATGAGAATGGTAGGAACTAGAGATTCCGCCTGGTCTCTTTTTTTTTTCTTCCTGTGTTTTTTCAACAAAGTCTTGTTCCAAAGAGAAAATTCACCTGAGATTTGCTGCAAAAATTTGCCACATTTCTTAGGTATGTCCAACCCAGGAGACTCTTAGGAAAACTGGCCTCTCTTTTCCAGAGTCCCTGGCATTAGCTTATTGGTCTCCATCTGATTTCTCAAACTGGAAAACCCATGCATCCACCAACTACAGTTGGAACTAATATTCTTAAAATGGAGGTAAGGATCTCTTCCCAAGCGCATAAGCTCTGACTCCCATTGGGCTGTCAAAATTTCCAAGCTGCCTAGTATCCTTAAGCTCTTGGTTGCATACAGGAAAATTAGCAGGTATTCTTCATGAAGAATACAGACCACACACACACACACACACACACACACACACACACTCATTCTAGCATGTTCTTGGGAGTTTATAGCTACAAGATTTGTTTTCCTTAGATTGG